ATTTAATTTTTTTTTTTTTTTTTTTTTATATGGATGGGTTACCGGGAATCTAATAGATTTAGGTCAGATTGCATATATTATTAGGCGTTGTATCGTTTTAGATATGAAACAATAATTTTTTTAAAACGACATCGCCGCAGCCGTTGTTTTTCAGACGCGTCAGCTGGCTCGCATATACCGCAGCACCGGCGATGTGTTTCGCATCTCAAAATGGCCAAACGTAATATCGACGGTGACACGACACGACAAATGGGTCTAAGCGACACAATTCATTTAGTTTTCGGGAGAGTTAAAAAACATGTATTTGTGATTTTAACATTTTTTTTTTTTTTTTAAGTGGGAAATAATTTTTTTTTCGTTTGGACTGGGGAATATTTACATTGAATACTTTTTTTTTAGCTTGTACGTTCTTAATGTAGATACGCATTGTTGATTAGCTTTTATTGTCGTTTAGACCCTATAATTGAGAAGACAAAATAAAAAGTATCGTTTGTATCCCCGACTTAAAATTAAAATTATTCGTTAAATAATGGTCACAGTTCTTTTTGCGCACGTGTGATGTAATGGACGAAACATGTATTTCTTCATCCAATAGTGAAGTCATGTAACTTAGAAACTTGCCGTGTCACCATCGATATTTCAGCAGATCGAGCTACTCGGTAAGGAACGGGCATTTTGTTTTAATGGTTTTAACGATTAAAATACATTTTTATCCCTCAAAAATTGGCCGTGACTCAGCCTTTTAAAGTTCGTGATTCGTACCTTTATACCTACGACTTTTTTCCAAGTAGTCATATTTCTACGTGCTTTTTTAAACGTCTTCAGTTTTGAATCAAACTTTTGACTACTATATCCTGAAAAACTTACAAGATAGAAATAAAATTATATCGACCAAATAGCAGTATTAGAACTTGATTTTAGAAACAGGCGTGTTGTATCTGAGAAAATTTGAGTTTAGTTTACAATGTTTACAACGTTTGAAAATTTGTTGGAATCGTATTGTTTGGCGCCCGATAAATATTATTGGATACATGAAATAAGAATAATACGTTTAGGACGCAGCTGCTGCGGTCGTTTTAAGGTACTGCAACAACAACCCGGTAAACAAATCGAATAATCTTTATACAATCCACTGCGGCAGACGCGTATAAACCATTAATTAGAATAATATAATATTACGAAGTCCATTATAATAGTAGGTATGTCTACAATAATATTGTTAAGGTTTTTTAGAGGTGATAGACTTATCTCTTATTTTTCTCTACGATTACGATAATATTATAATAGCAATTATTGTAGGAATACAATGATAAGTGAAAAGTGATCGAACAAAAAAAAAAAAAACTATTATTTAAACGTAAATAAAAATGTTCGAAAATTATTTTTTTTAAAATAACACAAACACTTGAACACAGTCCTCCCGCTCTTACTTTTCATAGTATTTGATTTTTTTCAGTTCAAACTACTATTACTTAATTATAAATGCATAAAAACAACGGCATCAAACAGATAACTTTGTTGTGTTTTTACTGTTGATAATAAAGTCGACGGAAATAATATTATTGCGCAATATGGAATGAATTCGAAACTTCCGTCATGTGTTGTACCGCACGAAACCATTGCATGTTTCATTTTTTAGATTCGGAATGTAGCGAGCATTGGTATTACAATGATGTTTATTGTTTTTTTTTTTTTATACTGTGAACAACTTTTCTACCAGCAATCTTAATCCGGTGTATCAAGTATAGTACCTTTTATGGAAGGATATTGCCGGTAGGAGAGTTATAAAAAGATAAAAAAAAAAAAAAAATTCGAGCGCGTGTAGGATTTTGTATACATTTCATTTTTTTTTTTTTAATGCAATATTATTATCACTCCGGCTATCGGCGTCGTTTACCCGTCGGCCTTATCAAATACCGCAGTAAAAATATTATCGGTCTAACATACGGCCCGGACGGCAACCGAAAGATCGCCGGGTATGCGGCCGCGGTCGTTAATAATTCGCGCGTCTGCCGCGCGGGCTTAAAACAGCTGCTGACCGGCCACCGTCTATAATAGCCGTTTACCGCGTGAAATCCGTTCGGGAGCACGTGCCGGATAACGCCGACTGAATTATTATTATTATTATTACTATACGCGGCCGTCCGAATCAATATATCTATTTTTATAGAACAATAATGACGTATAAACTGCAGTACACGCGGATCGCCCCGCAACGTGTGCCGTCGCAGTTTTACTACGATACACTCTATACGTTCGCATATATTGTTGTACACAGTCGCGCCAGTGTAATATTTACTCAGGAGCGCGAAACCGACAAACTCTCACTCCCCTGCGCGGCGGCGCTGATAAATAACAAACACGCGGACCGCCGCCGCCGCCACTGTACGTGGCCGGTGGAGTCGCGAGCGTTTCCGAAAACCGGGTGGGGGGCGCGACACGCCGAGGGTGACACCTCCTCCTACTATTCTTCCCTCTCCTCCCCCCCCCCGGCGGCGGTGACACCGTACAATAGGAGAGACGCGAATAATTCTATTTTTCGAGTTCATTGTGTGCGTTTTTTTCCCCCCCGGTCCGCGTACGGATCTCCCTAAATTTTCGGCCGACGGACCCGACCGCCGGCTGGAGGGTCACCCACCGACGCGTACGCGCGCGCTTCCAGCAGGGTTCTGATTTATAGGTTAGTCGGTTTTCGGTACCCGGCCCGGTACGACGAACACTCCGACTGTATTATACGAGACTGCCCGACGCACCATGTCCGCGTACCACTGGGATCAACTGCGTCCGGACGCGCACCACCACCGACCACAGCCCAATAATAACCAGCAGCATGAGCAGCTTGCCGTCTCCGAACCTCTACCGGCGGAAGGCAAAGGTGAGTTTTGCGACTTTGCATACGATCGCTATACGTTTGTATGCTTGTACACTTGTGGGACCGTTTCGGTCGCGTATCAAGGCGTATTGTTCACGTGCGCGCGCGCTCGTATGTTTAAGGTGGCAACAAGAGGTCCAGGCAAACGTACTCCAAGTACCAGACGGCCGTGCTGGAAACGGTGTTCCAGACGTCCAAGTACATCGTGCGGAGCAAGCGCCAGCAGATGTCGGTCGAGCTGAACCTCACCGAGCGGCAGATCAAGATTTGGTTCCAAAATCGGCGGATGAAGGAGAAAAAGTGCAGCCACAAAGACGCCGTAGTCGCCCGGGCCGACGGACTCGCGGGCCTTGCGACGACGGCCGCGGGCTACGCGAACGACTACGCCACCGCCGGCGGCGGCGCCTATCTCGGCAACTGCCAACCGTCGCACGGTGGCGGCCGGGACGACGTTTTCGCCGATTACGACGACCGTCTTCCCGTGTCCAAACACCTGCGGGACGACGTCGGTCACGCCGCGGCCGCCGCCAGTTACGCCGGCTGCGGCAGTGGCGGCTACGATTTGCCCGAAATCGACCCGTACGGCGTGATGGTGCAGGCCAAGGAACAATGGTCTCCCGTCGACTTTCGTCAAGACTTTTACAACGGAGTCGTGAGTATATTTTATGATATACGTATAGTCGTTCAATAATTACGTCCGAAATTGTCTTGTATAAAAAATGCCCACCACGACGACGTTGCCCGTGAAAACATAAATAATCTCGTTTTTTTTTTTTTAGATTTTGAGTGGAGCGAGGAACGTATTGGTTTCACAATGATATTTATTTAGTTTTTTATGTGAACACTTTTTCTATCAGAAAGCTTACTCCGATAGCAACATTTCCAAAAGGCAGTGTTCTCTGGGTGGTACTTTAGAGGGGTCGTTCTTTTGAATTCTCATTAATATTCGAGATAATGACGAAAACCTGGTTCTTTAGGTTAAAAAATATTGAAAGATTAATAATTAGCAACCGTCTATATTTATTTTTCGTTATCATTAAAAGTATTTTTTATTTTAAATCTTTTTCAACAACCATTGTTGTCATGAAAACCCACATTGTTGTAATCATTTTACCATAATATGACATATACATATATTTGTTGACAAAGCAACACTATATCAACTGAACTCCGCTCAGAATCGTTTTTTCGTTAGCAATGGTTTATTGTTACTTACAGATATACATTAAATTCCCGTCTGTATCTTACCTTCCCAACTTCTCATCTACCACAGTGGCTGCACCCATGCGCGAAGTATATGCCTGTTATTTTTTTTTATTTTTACTTTTTATTTTACATTCGGAGCATAACGAGAAATGTGTTGGTGTCGCCTTTTTTTTGAAACGAAATTTCATCCGGTTATGGTACTTTAAGGGGGCCGTGTTTTGTTTTTCGATTTTCGTATAATAATCGGGAAAATATATGTAGGTACACGTGTACAAAATAAATTTCGCATCAAATTTTCTTCTATATCCAACCTTTCCAACTTCTCACCTACAACAGCGGCCCACCCAATCCAACCTAACTGAGGTAAACCGTAAATCAATAAATATAATTAGATTTTCGTACCAAAAGTATCAATAACCCCGCGTCAGCTCCCCTTTAAACGTTGCATTCGAAAGAGAAGGGGGAGGAGCCTATATGTTATTCCCGGTCTAGAACCGTGCAACGTTTCAGCTCAGTCCGTTCAGTAGTTTTTGCGCGGAGGGGTAACAAACATCCACCCGTCCAAACAGACTTTCGCATTCATAATATAATAGTAGAATATGTACTTAACTAATAATAGTAATAAACGTTTTCGTTTCACGTGTAATAATGATTTCCAGCACGACACGGCCGGCCATTTCGAAAGAACATTTCCGATGACGCACAATCATCTCTCGGTCAATTCTCAGGTAAATATCGCCAACACTGTTTCGGTATAATATCTACGTGTTATATTATGTCGGTACGAAGTCGCGTTTTAGTCACTGTCAGCATATAATATAATAATATATATCGTATAGGTTTTTAAATGATCGTCTCCGCTACAATATGTATTTATTTGGATAAATGGACAAAATATAATAGTGATAGCGTGTCGTATAGACAAACGTTAAAGTATCTTGAGGAAGATTAGAGATAATTGATGTAGAAAAATTATGATAAATTTATAAAGAAAAAAAATGATTAGCGGCTTTTTTTCTCGGTAAAAAAAAAAATTAAAAAGAATTTTGTTTATTGTCTGTATTGTAAAACTAAATGGCCAAAATAGTAAAAGCGTACCAGATTTCAAACAAGGCCCTGTGATTGATGTGACTTAATATATAATAAAACCATTAGTACCACCAAAAAAAACTATAAAAATATTTTCTAAACAACTTAAGGTATACATATTGTGAGACGACCGACGATTGCGTTGTACAAATCAATTTTTTCCCCGTGCGGGGAATTTGATTTTTAAATTCAAAACACCTTTAAAGGACATTTTATTCCCCTCGACGTATTTTTTTTAAAAAAAAACTCTTAAAAAAATAAAAAAACGTAATTCATCTTTCGCGGAGGGGGGGGGGAGCGATATTATAATAATATAATACTCTGCAGTAAATATTATATAGTACAGCTGGGGGCGTTAACGTTTTAAACACGGCTCTGATTGCGGTCTGCGATATATTATGTTTATAAACTTTGAACGTGACCCTGTTTTTTTTTCATTTTTTTTTTTTTCTTAAGGGTGGACACACCTTCGGGTATATAATATACGTTTTGATAAATTTCCTTTTTCGTAATATGCGTGCAAAAAAAAAAAAATATATATATATATATATATATATATACGTATATATTCACGTGGGTTCCACAATTTATTATATTATTTCGTTATTATATTAAAACGGATGTTTACACAGAATATTATACGATCGGTCGTGTTTGACTCTGACTCGCGCGCATATAACGTATACGACGAAACGATTTTTTCCGTGTCATTCGTAATTATTTACGCTTTCGGAGTGTAAACGCGCCGTCGTCGTTCGTATACATATAGTGATTATTATTATGATATTTAAAAAAAGGAATTCCGTTTGGAAATTATAATTAACTGGGCCCCTAGACGCAAACAGCGAAATATATACGCGAACGTATTACACACGGCAATACGGTTGTCGGTTTGAAACCGTAAATAAAACGGTAACCGGTAGGTTCCAACACGAACCTAAAAAACGGAATACGAATATGCGAGTGTTTCTACGCAAGACAACAGCAAACACTACACCGAAAAAAAAAAATTGGTCGTCTCAAAAGTACGGATATGTTGGTCTATTTTTCTGTGTATAGGAGCAATCATGTTCACGGAAAAATAAATAAATATTAACAACAAAAAACACGTTTCGTTCCCACTACTTCAAACGGACTTAGGATAGATAATTTGTGAGGTTCGACATTGTTATTGGTCGCGAGTTAGAAAGCTAATTATTTATAAGTCGTATCTAAATTACGATGATTATCGACTTTTAAACACTTCGCATGTAATGATCGTTTGGTTTTTCTCGAGAAAAACACTTTTCGCGGTTAGTAAAAATCCTCCAAACCGTTCGCGTCGTACTTTAAAAGACGCAGATTTTTCATCCGGTGATACTATATAATGTATGTACGATTTTTCTAGACTTCCGACAATATTGTTGTTAAAAATCAAAAGAAAAATGACGACAGGTATGCACATCGGTTTCGTATATTTATTGATTTTTGGACGATCTTGCAAGCTACAAGGGAAATAACAAATGGACATACTTCGCACCAATATAAGTAGACCACTGTTGTGGGTGAAAAGTTGGGAAGCTAGAGGGAAATTTAATATACATCTGTACTCAATAATTAACCATTGTTAACGAAAAATGATTCTAAACGGAATTCGGTTATAGGAGTTTTGAAAGCCCGTAATATTTATAATTTTAAAATAATACATTTTCCCGGTTTTTCCTACGATATTTCATTCATTATGAAAACTAGGAAAATCAGAAAATTACCTTCTTAAAGTAACAGCCCGGTTAGATTTTCTTTCAGAAAAGGCGCTACACTTGAATATTCGAACAAAATTTCTCGTAAAAAAAATGTTCACAGAAAAAAAAATAAATATCATTTTAAAACCAATACATTTCTCGTTCCGATCAGAATCTAAAACACAATTAATACCATACCTAGTATCAGTTAATCGAGTTCAGAATAGTTTTTTAATTTTTTTTTGCAATAATGTCTAATTGATAAGTAAGATATATATATATATATAAAATCGTGTCGTGCAGATGATGATTTATTTGTACGTGTTACTTATAAATATACAAATTTATCAACCAAGTTTTTTTTTTTTTTTACAGGTACCCGACTACTGCGGCGGCGGTCCGACACAGCAGCTGCAGGTCGCGCACGGTTATTGACGGTGTAACCTTTGAAATAATACTTTTACACGGCGGACCTTTGCAACGGTTGGTGCTAAACGGCTCTAGTCAATTCCATTCGGAAGTTAACGATGGATTTTCAAAAATATTTCCGCCAGAACCCTTTTGAAAAATGGACCTCACTCATCACTATTGCATTCGCCGCGAAACCGTACCGTTTTCCGGACAATGCGCGCACACGGCGGGGCCGGAAAAAAGTTTTGCAATCCACGCACTCGATGGATAATTTAAAAAAAAAAAAAAAAAAAGTAAATTTTCAATAAATTAATAAAACGACTGAAAAAAGTCGTATAATACCTGTCCGCTATACTATTAATTTTCAATCGGCGCCGCGGTAAATTACATTCAATTGTATATCTATAACAATAATATATTATTGTGTACTTTTTAGACACACATAAATAACAGTAGTTATCGGAAACGCATCGGGGAGGAGTTACAACGTAGAGGGTATGGGAACCTCCCCCCCCCTAACTGGCTCCACCGCTGTATGCCGCCGGTGAACCTGGCGGAACACTTTCGCGCGCGTTGTCTTTTGTTTTATTTTATATGTGTAAAATTCTAATCAAAATTATATAGTAAATTATAATAAATTATATCGAACGTTAATAACAATATAATAGTTTAATATTATATTTTATACGATAGTTTACGATACATTGTGTACAATATTTATGTGTGTGCATGTGTTTTATGATTTTAATATATTATCTATAGACGAATGATATTTTATAAATACAGTCGATTTTACATTTATTTTTCCCCTCGAAAAAACATGTATATATATATATAATATCTATATATGGTATTATATACGTACTCCTCTATTGCGTTTGGTCTTTTGAACGTGTACAACGATATATTATTATGCAGCTGCACGTATTCCACAATGGTGAGTATTGTATCGGCATGTTGAGGACAGTTATCGGAATATCGGATACCGGGTTTTAGTTGTTTTTTTTTTTTTTTTTCTCTCTCAAAACCGATACATTCGAGAAAATAAAACGTCTCTAGTATACGGGAAAAATCGTTAAAAAATCGGATATCGAATATATATGAAAATATACCATAACGGCTTATCGCTAGTGTTTTATACACGAAGATTTCAGATATAGGTACGTGTATTACGGTCAGGGGTTTTCGTTTTAAGTTTTCTACAGCAGTCTGTAGGTATTATCAAACCGCCATCCACCACTAAACGCGATTTGAATCGTTTCCTCCTCGTAGTCTGACCTTAATATTTATTTCGTTTTGATTTTTCTATCTCTTCCTCTCTCTCACTCTCTTAACGACCAATCGTCGTAATAATATATACGTGTTGTACGATTTGTCGGCACGACAGCGGTTAAAAAAAAAAACCGAAACAAGGCCAGGGTGAATATTAAAAATCACAGAATTCATTAGCGTATTGATGCATCATAACGATTATATTGTGTTCGAACGTATTGGAGTACTAAAAATCGATAAAGCTTGGCGTATATATTTTAATATTATTATTGCGTATAGGTCATATATTACGACGATGACTGAGATAAATATTAATATTCTTATATTCGTGTGCTGACGATTGTATACTATATAGCTAGATAGTGTAAAGTGTTTTACAAAAAAACAATACAGAGTAATTTTTTTATAATGAACCAGCAATTATCTCGGAGTTTTTTTAAGTGAATTTGATTTCTGTTTTTTTCTAATCATTATGGAATCATTTAAGCTTTATTTTAAAACCATTTTAAATTCGTTATCCCAAATTCATATACCCTAAATAAGTATATAATTTTGATTTTCAAATAGGAACCCCCCTCCCCTTTAGAAAACCGATTTGAATAGTGTATATTTTTCTGGACATTTTGATATGCATAACACTAATATCAGATTTACCGGTTATGAGTTATAATAGTTTAAAGTTTAGACTGGAGGACAAGGGAAGGGTTATAGGTCCATAATGATTAGAAAAAACAGAAATAGAATTCACTTCAAAAAACTCCGAGATAATTGCTGGTTCATGATAAAAAAAAATCACCCTGTATATAACATAATAAATACGACTCGTATAATTACATACAGCGAGACATTGTCGGAAGGGGACTAAGGAGGCTATATAGCCATTCCCCGTGAGCTGCGTTTATGAATGATTACGATTTAATGATCTGAACGTTAACACTGTTTCTAGTTATTTTTTCCGCTTCTGAAAGAACGTTTTCTACACTGAACCGTACGAAAATATAAACGAATTCTTGCGAAGGCGTATTATAATATATATTGTCAGGAAACAATGTCATCGGGTTAACCTTGGAAACGGTATAAGTGCATAAAACTATAAAAATAACACATTAATAAAAATCGCATAATTACTGTCTTTGCGTAACGTTTTCCGAGGGGGATTCAGCTGTCAAAGGGGTTAAAAGATATGCCAAAACGTATACATGTAAAAAAAAACTAATCGTTTTGTTTTCTTATCAGAGAAACGTTTTTATCGTCTCCTGTACAATTCGAACTTTTCACTCGTCATGTTTCCCACGGAATTCGTCCTATTATAATAAACAAACATAATTTCAATGGTATGAACGGGATGAAAGTAAAATTTTCAAAATATTAGAAATAAGGTCTTTGAAACGTGGTTATTATAGAATATGCATTAATAACTGAAAAATTCGCAAAATCGATTTTTATTCAATATCTCCGTAGATAATCGCGGTGGATGGATCACGATGAAAAAAAAAAGGTCACCTTGTAGTAATGTATTATATATTCTGTATGTTGTTTATGTATTCTTATGTGGGTCAACGTCGCAATGGCCGCGTATTGCAATGTCATCGTTGCACCATCATGACGACGCGTTACACGACTGCGCGCACTTTTTCCCGCAGAAAAATACGCGATGGAGAACGGCGACGGTGTTGGTGATGGCGGTGGTGGCGATAATCTATTGTACATTAAAAACCCATCTATATACTTTACGGAGTTTCAAAACACTACACGTTGTGAATCATATTTTGTTTTAACCCGGACGGTGTGAGAAAACGACAATTCCAGTCGATGAGTCTTCTTTACCTTTGGTTTCGCTTTCACGCGAACGTGGCTGCAAAAATACGCGTTTCTATCGGTTATTCGGTCGCTGCGGCCTGTATTTTTATTGGAATTCCAACAAATTAAATAGAATTGCGTACTATATTATTATATTATCGCGCACCGAGGTTTTTTTTTTTTTTTAAATTCTAAATGCAGCGAGGTGTGTACTGGTTTTACTATGTATAATGTGTACGATTTTTTTCTGTCGGTAATAATAACATTTCTACTGGAAATATTGTTCCGATTTTTATGTGTAGTATCTTTTCTGAGAGAAAATTGTATCTTGATGATGTACTGAACCTATCATTATTTTTATATTTTCATTGCAGTTTTCTTAATAATTAGAAAAAATCGGGAAAAAACGGTGACATTTACGGCTTATATCGGTTTATCTATTCTGTTTTTTTGTTTATATTTTTATTGTAATTCAGTTAAAACAATCGTATGAACCTGAAATTTTTACAACATACTTAGATTATACATATTAGCTTTTTCTAAACGTTGTAAAATTGTTGAAACATTACGTCAACTTTTTAGCTATATTTATAAGCATTTATCAGTTTTGAGTTCTTGTAGATTTATTTTGTTTTTGTGAATTTCGGTCAATCAACAGAAATGTTTGATAATTTAACTATAGGATCATCATAAATTGGCGAAAAAAAGATCAGATTAATTTAGTTGGTTTTTATTTTTAAGCGTTTTATGTTGAAATTTCGACGAAAATCGTGAAAAACGTCGCCATTTAAAAACATGTTTAACCGAACTCCGTTCAGAATCGTATTTCATCAGCTGTAAAATTTTTTTTGTTGCTTGCGGATATAAATTTAACAACTGTACGGTGTCCTACCTACCCGACTTTCCGCCTACAACAGCGCAGGCCCACCTATCATCAGTTGTAGTATCGACTCTTTTTTATTTTTATATTACTATTGTTGTTATTGTTGTTTTTTCACGGCGTCGATGTACGGTACACACAATATAATATAATACGTGGGTTCAAAGAACAATACGACAGCACTCGGACAACTGCAGTCGGCTGCACAGTCGGCGGCAGCGACGGGTTCGGTGTTCTTAATGGTTTTCCGTGACGATCCCTGCGGAAACACCGTGACCGAACGCGCGTATATCGTTGTTACATTCACGTCCACCGTGCGTCGCGAATCAGCTGCTACCCCCTTGTTTTTTCGAGCACCCTGAGCAAATAATAATGATAAAAAAAAAAAAAATGAAAATAAATATTAACACACGTCGGCCGCCGCGATATTATACTATTATAGCGCGCAACAATGACTGATGATCTCTAATCGACCGCACGCACGTCATATTAATAATATTTATAAATATTGCGCGTCGACGTATCGCAAAATTAATAATGTTACGGATCCACAATAAGCTAAAAATACATGCACGAACCGACCGAAGTATGATGAATTTCACGAGAAACCTGCAGACGCGTACTCGTAATGATAATGTTGTTATTATGACAATGTTATAGGTGTACAAAGGATGTGTCGAGTCGTTCTGCCGTTCGTTTAAGTCTCCGCCGCCGCCACGGCCTTCGTCCTCTTCAAAGTGTACTATAATATGATATATTGTCCTGCGGGAAGAAGGGCTCGGAGTCAATTTTAGATTCGCGCTAAATTGCATAACACTGTGATAGCGTTGTTTGTTGCTAAACGACTGAACTGTGCAAACGTCCGCGTCTTTTTTGGCATCGCATTGTTAAGATATTTGTTTTAATATTCACTGTGACTCGCGTTAGAATGTAAGCGATTTAGACCGGAAAAAAGGGACGAATTGTATACTTGAGACGAAATTTAAACAAAACAAAATATCGAAAATTTTTTCCAGGGACCGAAAATAGACGTTATTTTTGATCGCGTTATACTGTAACGTCCGCTGGTCGGTAATCAAATAACTATATACGGCTACGGACGAACAGCGGTATATTATTGTAAATGTTATTAATATATATTTTTGAAAAAGGCGGAGAGGGTGTTCGCGTCGATACGGCTGGGGGACATATATAGGCGATCGGCTTTTGTAATACTCTCTGAGTCACCCCGTCGCCGCCTCCACCGCCGCCGCCGTGCTAGACACGATAATAAACATTTATTATTCGCGAGCGGACATTTGTAAATGATGTAAATATGAAAATTTTTTCTCGTGGTTAATCCCGCCGCTGCGACGGCGGGTATAAAAGAATATAATAGGGGTGAAACTGCCGCTGGCTGTTAGGTGTTCCGCGCAAGCCGTCGGGCATTTTTCGGCGATAAAGTGAATTCGATTATACCCGACAATGTTATTATTTATATACACTGCGCACAATAATACGCGTAATGATATAATAGGGACGAGTTTAAACGGCTTTATCTACGATTTGGCGGGGACTCAAAGGGCTCGAGTCGATTTTTCCGAATAGTTTTCAATGTAGGAGCTGATTAATTTTTGAAAAAAACGGCAATAACTGTTGAACGGTTTATAAGCCGCCAAATATAAATGATTGTACACATATAATTTTTTAAGAATCGCGCGGGTCTTCGTTGTTAGTATAACCTTTGGTTATAGTTATAGAAGTTCCGATAAGAAAAAAACAAAAAAAAACGAGAATTATTACGTATACGCGTGGTGAAGACAGAGTCCGAGTA